AAAATATTTTTACTGGAAAATAATACTATAAATAGTTTTTGTAACTAGCAGAAAAATATTTAAATCGGAAGATTTTTACCTATCTAGGTGTGTTAAAAATCCGAATGTGTTTTCAGGTTATATTGTTTTTTATAAAATTTGATTACATTAACTTAGTAAGTTTTTTTACATTCAAAAAGCTTTTTGATATTTAAACTACACTTGAAATCTGAAACATTTTAATGTTATATCTTATTGTATTAAAAAGGATCATGTATAGTATTATGTTTTATTTACAAAAATCGAATGCATTTTAGTATTAATGCAGTTCAGGCATATACACTGAGTGACCAAACTATTATGACCACTTGATACTTTTACGGGTATCTGCTATAAATTTCTGTAAATGGTACTAGAAGGTGAGAAGCTGAGTAATATTGAAGCATCAATTGCATTGCGTTGCTGATGCAAAAAAATAGGGGGGGAGTTATTTAGCTGTGTTTGAAAACGGGAGGAGAGACAGGCACACAGTAGGTGCTCGAAATGTCGGAAGTGGTATCACCAAAACGGTTACACTTGTGGAGTGTTCGAGCAGAAAATTAATGCTTACAAAGAGGGAATTCCCAAGAAGAGAACCGGGTCTCAAAGTCTGACTTGTGGTCATCCCAGGGTACTGAAAATTTTCTAGGAAAGGAGAAACATTATAGTTGTCCAGACCAAAAGAAGAGCAACCGTACTTCAAGTTGCGCAGAATCAATCAGCAACTACGAACGTCTATAAACGAGCTGTTCACCGCAAGTAACATCGTAATGGCTATGGTAGCAGATAACTTACCTCTACTTTTGAGATTGATAGAGAACAGACATCCGCAGTTCACAAAACACCACAAGAATTGAGCTGTAGATGGCTATAAAAAGAGCATGTGGTTTAATGAATCACATTTTCAACTACACCATGTAGATGGCAGAATGAGAATATAGGAAAAACGGAATGAATGTATGAACCCTATTTGTATTGCCACAACTCGTCAAGCTAGTGGAGGTAATAATATGATTTCTTGGCATGCATGGGTCCTTTGATACGTGTAAAGAAACTTCCGAATGCCCAAGGGAATTTAAGTGTTATCGCAGATTAAGTACATCCTTTTATATTAATTAAGTATCCTGTCAGAGATGGATACTTTCAGACAGGGCAAGGCTCATTTCTATACAGCTGGCATTGTCCCAAAATGCTTCAAAAGGCATGACAGACACATCACCTTGCTTAGTTGGCTTGCACAATCACCACATCTCTGCCCATTGAGAAAATGAGGGATGAGATCAAATGGAACATCTGGGACCTGGATCCTTTATTATCAAATCTGAAGATATTGAAAAGTGTAATTCATCGGATATAGTTTCAAGTTCCTCATACCATCTCCCAAAACTCATAGAGATCATACGAAGAAGAATCCATGCAATTTTCAGGGCAAAAGGTGGTCCAACGTTGTATTGAAGGAGTCGTCGCAATAAATTGGCCACTCAGTGCATATATTGTTGTTATTTATTCCTCTCGATCAACATCAGATCGAGGCCCACAAAATTTGTCGTGGCAAGTAGCTAGTTCTACGTCTGTCACTATCCGTAACCATGAGCACCATGTAGGTGGCAGAACGATTTCGCTCGATTCCACTCCAATTTTGAAGAACACTGCGGGGTTAGTCAGGGGCCTCCTACCTCTCTACTTCTTCCATCAACCTCACGAGAGGACTTGCAGCTCACCGAATATTTAGAGTGCTCTCAGTCACACTATAATACAGTAAGAGGACTATTGGTGATGAGCCTCGTAATTTTGAACCATTTTCAAGTAACACTATTCACACAATTCTAATCGACGGTATAAAAAGGAATAATTAACACTAATCAAAATACTCAAAAGAGACTCGTAGCTAGCTTATAAAATTCTGTAATCGCGCGGATGCTTTCTTATTTTTCCATTTAAAATTCTTAGTTTTTCGAAAGAATGGATATCCCACAAAGGTAAAAAAAATCCCTATTTTAAACTGTATTTTAAATTCCTTATGAATTTTTTCATGACATAAAATACACAATGAGTAACAAAAACTCTTCGTATTTATAAAGGTAAGATTTTAGAGATAAAAAAGAAATCTGTAAAATTCACATATTGTGATATGTGAATCAGTGAAATAAAGAAAATATTTCTTATGATTAAACGAACAGCACTAGATTTTAAATAAGAAAACTAGATATATTAGAAATTAACTACATTCTCTTTGTGCTTTCTATTGCGTTTCTTGGACACCAGAAAATCCACAGAACGGAGAAAATCGTTATTATCGAAATTTTTACTATCTTATTAGTGAGCTAACACTTTTTTGCAATGAAACAACAATGAAAAAAAATCTTTGTACTAATACTAAAAATAGTAAGAAAATTTAACATCCATCTTCTATAATGTGTGAGATTTTCATAACATAATCATTAAAAAAATCCACTCTTCCTGCACACCTTCTTCAGAAATCTCAGAAGACATAAGATAATAAAAAATAACAAGGATAAAAGTTAAAAATTACTTACTTTTAATGTGGTTAGCCGATGTATAGCTCAAAGTAGTAAAAACTACCAAAATTGATAATATTTTTGACATATGCATTTTGAATACTGCTGCACTGATCCCAAAAGAACTTCCTAGGCAAGTTGGCGATTGACTTTATACTGCCGTTTAAAGGATTAATTTTATTTTCACACCTGTTTAACACATAATCACGTCACCACTTTGATTTCACGTGTGTTAATCATCACATAGGAAAACAGATTAGAGATATTACACCTACACATGAAGGGATTGTTTTATAATGCGTACTTGACAAAAGATTTATTCCTTCACTAAAGAGAGAAAATCAATTTTTTTATAGAAATATCTGGAAAGAAAAAGTAAAATTGAGAGCTGGTTCTTATGTAAGAAGTATATATGGAAATTTCAAATAAAAGGGATGCAATGAGGATTAACGATATGAAAAAAAATGTCTGAATAACGTACATTGCTTCATATAAAAACTTCGAATACCGGACTCTCCAATTTTCTGCAAAGATATTATGAAATTTCCATTACTTTAACATTAAGTAACAAACGTACTTCATTCAGCCATTGTATCATTGGCTTTTGTTTTCTTTGTGAATGACCAAACTCTTAAAAAGTAATAGAAGAGAAAAAAATATAAAAACATATTAAGTCAAATCCTACTTTGGTCAACAAAGAAAAATTTTATTTTAGTTATTTTTTATTAAATAATTACAATAAATTTAAATATGTATATACATATGACATAATCACAAAATTAAGTGACAAAATAGAAAGCGATTCTCCTTGATATTTTCCATTTTCTTTTTTTTAATGTTGGACTGTTTTTGTTTGTTTGTTACGATTTATTCATTAAGACTACACGGTACCCTTTTTCAAAAAAAATTTTTGGAGACAGTTACAGTAAAAATAATTGATGTTTTATATTTAGATTATATTATTAAGCTGATTCTTTAAGCAAAAAGTCAGTTTGACCAGCCATTATTTTAAAATTTTAAAAAATTAGGAATTTTTGAAGTTTTTTCAAACTTATAAAATACTCAATTTTTAAAATTTTTAGTAATTTTAAGTTATTTATGATTATTAGATTATTACAAACAATATTTAGTATGGATTTGAAAATGTATTCCCTTGTTGATTTTTAATAATTATTTTTCTAGAAAAACCTGGAAAAAACACGAAAATTTTTAAAATATCATCTTAGGCATTTTTTAGAAAAATAACTAGAGTTCTCAGCCCTAAATCCATACTAATTTTTATAGAACATACATTTGGGAGTATATACAATAAAAATTCAAGGCTCTATCTTGAACAGGAAAAAAGCCTTAGGGATTAGAAAACACTTATACCTTCAAAATTAAAAGTCTGAGAAAAACGCATTTAAAGTTTGTAAAGTCATAAAACAAAAACTTATAATGCCCGTAAAACTCTAATTTTTTAATATGTTATTTTCCAATGTATGTTCAACATTAAAACTCTATTTTTATTAAATATGACTGAAAAATATATTTTTAATTCAAAAAATATTTTTGCATAATATTGATAGCATTTGTTAAGACGTCAGTTTATTCAGCTTTATCTTAACGTAATATTTCACAAAAGTTTTGAAACACGAAGCATTTATGTACAAAATAATAATGATACTAACTTAAGCTAAAAATAGTCAGGTTTTCTCATACAATTTAATTTTTTTCAGTTTTAAATTGGGGCAGTTTAGGAAGTCTTAGCTCTTGTCGTACGACTCTAAAAATACTAAAATATAGTACTACAATATGTTTAGTATAATGTAGTTTGGTACATCAAGGAAATATTCAGTTATATCTGCAGCATTTGAATTCAGAATGCTTGTATTCGGAAGTCTAATTGCAGAATCAGCTGAGGATTGATTTTTAGATACATCATTTTCAGTAATATTCCATCTCTTCGAAATATTGTTTCTCACAGACACCCAGAACGCATTTGCCATGGCATTTTCTCTACAGGAAAAAATTAATGATAAAGCTTTTAAGTTATATAAACTAATTTTAAAGCAAAAATTGGCCATGAAATTAATCTTTATTAATTAATTATGAGAACTCAAAAAACTCAAAACATTATCAAGCAGAAATGATTTTAGTAATGAAAAATTGGAATTAATAACCATTTCAAGCTAAAAGCTCAAAAATATTTTTAATTAATTCAACTTAAGTGTGAAAAAATGCTTTAAAAGGAAACCGAAACCAAAACCATAGCTCATAAAACTTCAAATATCTTAAAAACTAATTTGCTAACAGATCTGAAATTTCGTGGTAAGCATCACAATGATATGGGCCACCAAAATATGCAAAAAAAAATTTTGGCAAAAATGAAATTTTTAGGGTACTGTGTAGTCTTAATTTAATATAACTATTCTAATAAAATAATATAGTAAAAAAGAAATCCCATTCTCAGAGAAATTAGGCCATCCCACGCGGGATACGAACCCACGATCTTTAGATTAGAAATCCAACGCGCTATCCATTGCGCTACTGGGACACTGTAACGTAGCCACTCCCAGCAGCGGTCAAAATCTTTGGTGGACCCGACACCCACACGTGCCCCTTGTAGCTGCAGCGCAACCCCTTTTTGACCCCCCGAGGAATCTAACCCCGTCGACCGGAAGATGAGAGGAGAGATGCCTTGAACTTGCGCGGGAGCGGTGGCCAACGAATCCTCCTCTCACAAAATATTGGACTCTAACAATCTATAATTAAGCTTAATAACTTTAATGTATCATTTTGTAAATAATATTCAATAGTTGTGACGTAAATAAATTCCATATTATAATTAACCAAGAATACGCTACCGTTATTCTTTCAAACGTTAAAGCTTAGAGATTTGGTGGTAGCTCTTTGGGATAAAAAGTTAGCATTCAGGACCCGTGAGAGGAGGAAATTTTGGGTTTTTACGGACGGACCGCAACGCAGGGAGAAAAAGACATCTTCGGAAGCCGTGCTGCAATTGAATTCAGCTTAGAGAAGGAGAGCGTCCTGCTCAAAGAAGATCAAACTGACCTTTAGTGTTTACGGCCACAGTGTCCGGAGGGAAAGCGATCTTCGGAAGCCGTGCTGCAATTGAAGTCAGCTTCGAGAAGGAGAGCGTCCTGCTCAAAGAAGATCAAACTGACCTTTAGTGTTTACGGCCACAGTGTCCGGAGGGAAAGCGATCTTCGGAAGCTGTGCCACGAGTGAATTCAAGGCTGGTCAAACTGACCACACTTATTGTTAGGGGTTAAAAAGCAGTGCTGCGATTGAATTCATCTTTGAAGCAGTGCCACGAGTGAATTCAAGGCTGGTCAAACTGACCACACTTATTGTTAAGGGTGAAAGATTCAAGATTGGTCAAAAGGACCATTGTTCAAACGAAAAAGTTCAAAACCACTACTAGTGCCATATTACTGCACATAATTTGCTTCTGACAGCAAGCTGAGTACTTCAAATGGGTGAGTACTGTTATATTTTTGAGTGTCAAACTGCATATTATATTAGGAATTTTGGTTAAAATGTTCTTTACAAATTTTGAAATACTTAGTGTTTTTTCTTGCATGGGAACAGTGTTATTTTGTTTCTAGAGAATTGTAATTGTATTTCAAGCATTGTGTGCAATTTTAGCTTAAGATTTATTTTGTTTTAAATCTCTTGAATGATTTTGATTATTTTTAGTGTTAAGTTTTTCTTTGTGTATTTCTGTGTATGCATGGGACCAGTGTTATTGTATTAATAGAGAATAGTAACAAAATAGTGCAAAATTTAGCGTGACATTTATTTGATATTGTTTAAAAAATGGCTTTCCTTGGTAAAGGGAAAAAGCAAGACATGTTGCAACTTGCTGAGGAATTAGGAATAAATGCCACCTTAAATATGACTGTCCCTAGCATAAAAATTGCAATCACTAAAAGTGAAGGTTATGAAGAGGAATTTGTTAAAAATCTGTATGAGACTATCATTGCAAACGGAAAAAGATTGGAGAGGTTAGAAAGGGCTAAAAAAATGAGATTAGAGGAGTTAGAAAGAACTGAAAAAATGAGATTAGAGGAGTTAGAAAGGGCTGAAAAAATGAGATTGGAGGAGTTAGAAAGGGCTGAAAAAATAAGATTGGAGGAGTTAGTAAAGGAGCAGGCATTAAAAGAGAAAAAATTACAGCTGAAATTTGATTTAGAAAGGTTTTAAATAGAATCCGGATTTAGGGTAAACGATGAATCAAACGATTCTACAAATGCATGTTCTGTAACCTCTAATTTAACATTAAAAAAATTGATCCCAGATTTAGATCCTAAGCAGTCAGATATTAGTTTATATCTAGTGATCTTTGAACGCCAGGCTAAAAGGGCGGCAATAGAAAAGAAAGAGTGGGTGGGGCAATTATTGGGTTTGTTACCCCTAGAGATCGTGCAATTTATTGCTCGCGAACCGGAGGAACAAGCCGAAAATTACGATTATGTAAAGAAATTATTACTTAAAAGATTCAAGTTAAGTCCGGAGGTCTTTCGGCAAAAATTTGTCCAACACCAGAAAAAATCCGATAGCACCTGGAAGGATTTCACTTTTGAAATTACGAGTTATCTAGATGAGTGGCTGATTGGCTTAGAAATAAATACGTTTCAAGATCTTAAAGATCTAATGGTGGTAGATCAATTAAAAAAACGCGCCAATGCTAGTATGAAAGATCATTTTTTAGATAATTGGGCAAACCTTAAATCAGCTATCAAATAGCAGAACTCTTTGATAATTATGAGGACGTCCGAAAGGTAAATTCGAAACCCATGGATAGGTTGGGCAGGAATGATAAAATTTTGACATACTCTGGGGTCAAGGAAAAGGAAAATAGATTTGGGAAAACTTCCCCCAAATTAGGAGTTTCTCTTCCGAAGAGTACTAGAGAGAGAACTTTGAAAAACGCGTGATACAGAGATGTTATCATTGCAATATGTCCGGACATATAAAAGCCGTTTGCCCTAAATTAATAAAAAACAAAACGACGGAAACTCTCAATAATATTGAAGGAAATGAAAACCCGGATTTTCTTAATTCATATAGAACAAAGGGCTCTGTGAATGGTCACGAGATTGACATTCTTAGAGATACGGGAGCGACAATAGATTTAGTATGTGCAAAATACATAAATCCTTCTTCTTTCTTTGGTGAAAATGTTTGGGTAAAAACAACCGTTAAGCCCAGAATTAGTTTGTTTACCTTTGGCGGTCGTGGAAATTTCCGGAAATTTTGGAACGGTGCAAACTAAGGCAGCGGTTTGTGTAAATCACTTAAATCAACTCGGTCGATATTTGCTTGGAAATAAAATGGCCGAGCTAATAAAAGGAAATTTAGGCTATAATTTCCTGCCAGTCGAAATACTGAATGCTGTCCAAACAAGGTCTCAAGTCAAAGCGGCTAGAGAAGAAAGGGGAATAGATAGTGCTGATGCTAAGAAAGGGGAAGATGAGGCTATAATTGTTTCTTCGGATGCAGAGGACGAAATTTTAATACCTGCACTCCAGGAATATGCTCCGGAATTTTAGCGCTGCTAAGGGTTACGCGAGAAAATTTAATCAATGCTCAAAAAAAATAGCGAGGAGATTAAATCCTTATACGAACAGGCAGCCAGTCAAGTGCAGGTTACCAATCAGGTTTATTCGCTAGAGAAGGAATTATTGGTCAAAAATCGCGAAGATAAGTTAGGTAACGTGGTGAAGTTAATAGTAGTGCCGGAAGGGTTGCGCGACCCCATTAAATCCTTGTGTCATGAGGGAACATCTGCACACCTGGGAATTACGAAATCCAAAGACAAATTAAACCGATATTTTTACTGGCCGAATTGCTATAGAGATATGGAACAGTTTGTAAAAACTTGCGATCAGTGTCAGAGGGCTGGGAAGCCCAATGATAAAAAGAAAGCTCCACTAAAATCGGTCCCTGTTATTCAGGAGGTTTTTACTAAGCTAAATATTGATGCATGTGGGCCTCTCCGGATCACATCTAAAGGGAATCGATATCTTATCACGTCCATTTGCATGTCATCAAAATTCCCTGGAGCTATTCCGGTGTCTGATATTAGTTCCGTTAGTGTCACAGATGCGCTGTTAAACATCTTTAGTCGGATGGGGTTTACAATGTGAAATACAATGTGACCAGGGTACTTCTTTTACTAGTGCTCTGACTACCGAGTTTTTGAAAGATTCGGAATACTTGTCAGGCATAGTTCTGTGTATCATCCACAGAGTAACCCTGTTGAGCTATTTCATCGAACGTTAAAACGACTCTTACGAGTCTTATGTTTAGATGCAGGCTCCGAATGGGACAAACATCTTCCGTCAATTCTTGTAGCGTTACGGACTGTATCTCACGAAAGTACAGGGTATACACCGTCAGAGTTGGTGTATGGGAAAAATTTGCGAACTCCAGAGACGTTAGTAATGGAACATTGAATGGAACCGGAAGAAGAAGGTGATCTCGTCACTGAATATATGTTTAAATTAATAAATAAATTAAAAAGATGTCAAGAAGTAGCTATAAATAAAATGGAGGAAATGCAAGTTAAGTGGAAAACTTGTTATGATAAAAACGCAGTAAAACGGGAATTTAAGGATGGGGATTTAGTCCTAGTGTTAGCTACATCCAGAGCAAATAAATTAGCAGTGCAGTGGATAGGTCCTGGGACAATTTTAAATAAAATTTCGGAAACGAACTATTTAGTCGAAATCCTCGGCAGACGCGAAACATCTCAAATCTATTATATAAATATGCTAAAACCATATTACAAAAGACCAGAACACGTTAACGTAATTATTAATGATGAAACGCAAAACTCTCTCACAGACCAGGAATTAGAAATCCCGTACTTAGAAAACAATTCTCTCGTTTATGATTTCGAGGACGTAATCCAGGCTAGCGAGTTGAACAAACACCTTCACGACAAGCAAATAGATCGACTGCGCGAATTATTAAATAAATACTCTAAATGTTTTTCAAACAATCCCGGTTTAACTAATCTGGTTGAACACGAAATCCAGTTAGTTAGCGATCAACCAGTTAGGACGAAGCCCTATCGAATGTCGCACCGACAAAATGAAATCTTAAAAAACGAAATTAACCGAATGTTAAAATTAGGAATCATTAAGGAAGGAGAATCGGATTACATGTCCCCTATGATTTTAGTTGAGGTAGCTGGGAAAGAACCTCGTCCATGTATTGATTACAGGAAATTAAACGGCATCATTAGAACGGAATATATTTTTCCTTTCCGAATATCGAAGAACGCGTAGAAAAAGTATCGGCGGCTAAATTCATTACCATCTTAATTGTATCTAAGGGATATTGGCAAATCCATTTGAGTAAAACTGCACAGTGAGATGTAGCCTTCTGTACTAGCTTTGGTACATGCAGACCCCTAAGGATGAGTTTCGGATTAAAGAATGCTCCATATTTCTTTAGTAAACTCATGGCTGAATTACTTAACGGACTAGAGGAACGGACTACGTGTCTAGACGATATCGCAAT